GGATAGCGAGCCTCGCTCCAAGCTGCCACTGTGATACGGAAAGATCGCGGATCTATCGTTTTGGAAACGCTCGCAGAGCGGAATCGTAGCTCAATCGGCCAAGGGCCCTAAAATCAGTAGAGCAAAAACGGGCGGCGGCAGAGAGACCTTGGACAGCTGAGCAGCAACAGCAGAGGGCGAGTGAGAAGAGCAGCGAGTCTTCTGGAATCACAGTTTGCGCCGTCTCCCAGTCTCGAAGTATTGTTGTTCTGGGATGGGCTCGGGCCACTCGCAAGGACCGGAACATCATGTGTTTCTCTACTTTGCATCAGCTTGGAATTTGTGACGGTGGCGGGACCACCCCCATGGACCTCATACCATGTCCTCCGGACTCGTCCTCTGATGTCTGCCAGTACGACCTCCGTCGCTTCGCCTGCCATAGGTTGTTGCTGCCATTGCCCGCTCAAAGCGAGCTGCAGTGGAGTCTCTCCTTCTCTCTCTCTGTCCTCCGCCCTTCCTTCGACCACAGCTTGGCATTGCATGTGAGACTCTAGTTTTTATGTTCACTGGCAGGCGGCGCTCACTGCCTTGGGGGGCGGCAGGGGCGGTTTGCTCTCAGAGCTTCCCGTCCGTGCCGCGCTGTTCGTTGCACCTGCCAGGCCGTTCGCGCCATCCCTCCTGCTCCCTCCTGCTCCCTCCTGCTCCCTCCTGCTCTTCTGCTCTTCTTCTCCTCCTCGCCGTGCTCTTCTGCGCTGCGCTGGCATTCTCGGCATGTCGTGCTCACCCGCTCGACTCGGTACCCTCTCTCTTGCGTGGGCGGCCCTGCTCTAAACCGTTCGGCTCGCGAGGGTTTTCTGTGCGAGTCCCCTCCAGCAATGCTCGGTGGGCGCGGCCTGCGCGCGCGAGATCTTCTTTCTTTGCGGACGTTCGTCCAGCTGTCGCTCCTCCCCCTTTCTCTCTTCCTCCCCCTCCTCCCTCCTCCTCCCCCTCCTGGCTGCCGTTGCGTGAGGCTTGCTCGAGAGGTTTGTGGCATTTTGCCGACCTCCAGAAGAGGCATGGAGTCCACGGTTGAGGTGTCGTGGGCTTCTTGGGCACCATGTGGGGATACTTGTGGGCGTCTTGGGAGCTGTTTGGGGGCCTGGTGGAGCCTCTTGGAGGCAGTTTTGAAGCGTGTTGGGGGCCGCCTTGGGGCCTCTTTTGGGCCTCTGGGGGCTTGTTGGAGGCCTCTCTTGGTCTGCTTGGGGGCTTTTTGGGGCCTATGGGGGGCTTCTTGGGAGGAAAGATAGGAGTTTCGGTTCGTGTTCTCCCTCTCCGCCTCCCTTGGTGCCCTCTTGGGGCGATCTTTGGCCGTCTTGGGCCCCCCTTTGGGCCGTCTTGGAACCCTCTTGGGCCGTCCTGGGGCCCTTGTAGGGGCTTCTTGGGCAGTTTGGGGGCGGTCTACGGGGCCTCTTGCCGTCTTGGAGCGTCGGAAGCTCGAGAAGACGATGACATCAGAAACAATGGACAACCTGAGGAAAACCATTGGCTTTTGCCTCTCGGGGCCTTCTTGGGAAGGCTCTTAGGGCGTCTCGAAGGCGTCTTGGGGCGTCTTGGAGCCATCGTACAGTCGGGGCCCTGAAGAAGGAACCCTTTTGGTTGGGGAGGGGCTCCGCGTTCCTTAAGTGTTTCACAGCTTGCCTCAGGCTTTACTTATGTTTTCGACAGGAAATCGAATGTTAACTTATGGAAAAAAGGGGCCTCGTTCCTTATTTAGGGTTCCTTAGGCGTCTTGTGCCAATCGTTGTGCGATTGGGGACCGTCTCGGAACGTGCTTGAGGCCACGGAAGACATATTTGGAAGCTCCGGAGTCTCCGGGGGTGCGCCAGGGAGCCCGGATGCCCCGCCCCAGATTTGCAAACTGCGGAGTTTCGGGGGTTGTGTTGGGGAGCCTGGATGCTCCTCCCCAAACGGGAGTTTGGACCCTGGGGGAGGGGGAAGGGGGAGGGGGACAGCCAATCGTCTCACACTCCTTCTGACCCCCTCCAGCAATGCCCAGGGGTTGCGGTCTACGCGCGCACGAGATTTTCTTTCCTTGCGGACGTTCGTCCAGCTGTCGCTCCTCCCTCTTTCTCTCTTTGTCCCCCTCCTCCTCCCCGTCCTGGCTGCCTGCAGTTGTGTGGCTTATGTGAATTGCCGATTGGGCCATGGCACTCCCGCCCACAACGCCCTGGTCTCTTCTCCCGGCCCGCGTCCTCCGCCGTTTTGCTCCTCCCCCGTGCAGCTCGCATCTTCGATGGCACGCTTCGAACAAAACCCGCGGGCATCATACGTGCTTTGCGCTGTCGTGGGACGGCGGACAGTGTGTAATGGCAATGCGAGTCCTCGCGCTGTGCCGGCTGAGGAGTGATGACGCATGGTGGGGGCTGTGGGGGCAAAAAGTACTGCAAACACTTCAACATGAAGATATCAAAGTCCACCCGCGACCCAACCCGCGACCCATCCACATTGCTTTAACGAAGAAGTCGGCGCCTGAGGCGGGCTCACTGCATGATTTATACCTTTTAGACGCCTGCGGCGGGCTTCTTCAGAGCCTCGCAGACTGCCGACGTCCTCGCCGCCCCCTCGCTCTTCTCCGCAGACTGCTGGGCGCTACGCAAAAACATAGCATTCTAGCCAAACTGGTATCGACGCCTCCTCATCCGCAACAAGCAACACTATGCGCGCGCATTCGTCCGTCACAAAACATCACTGCAGCACATACCGCGAAGTCCACACGCGCGCACACGTCGAAGCTATACCGAGCACATCGTGTTCGCACATGCTTCGTAGTCGAAGCAGCAAGCGCCTATGCATACTCCACCAGCAGTATAGCAGATACGTTCCCCGCGCGTATTTCTTGATTCCACAAGAACACCACATGGTTCTAGCAATCTTGTGCAGCACCCGCATTGCCATCTCACCAGGCGGTGCATCCGCGTTGACCTAGCATGGGCCCAGTGCATGAATCCGTAGCAAATACTTCCCTGAGGGCCACATGTGAGCTCTTCCACCCGCGCGTGTCAAAATCGTTCCAGAACTATTCGTTTCCGAAGCATGTAAATCCACAACTTTCCCACTAGATCTGGAACTAAATAAGTTTCCTTATTGTCTGTGTGTGCTCACCTTCCCATCACCCTCACCAGCTCCATCGCATCACCGCCTCTATCGCCATCGCCAACCACCGCCAAATCATTTTCAGCACCGACACCTTGACATCACCATCGTCACCAGCGTCTGCGCCGTCCGTCATTGGTTTTGTCGTCGTCATCGTCATCATCGCCACCGCCATCGAGATTATTATCGCGGTTGCCGATGTTGTCGACGTCATCATGATCACCCCCCTCGTCACCGACCCACATTGAGGAGCCCGCGCGCCACTGCGGCCTTTGAGACGCGCTGGGAAGTCTCCATCGGCAAGCGCCATCGCGGCCACATCAATCATGCAAAACCATCTGGCCGATCTCCGCGTGAGCGTGCGCGCGCCAGTTCGGCCGTGGAGATGCGCCAGCAAGGTCCAATCGTCAGTCGCAATCGTAGCGGCATTATTTTTGCGTTTTGCCCAGTTGCGGGTGGGAGGGTGTGGTGCTGATGCGAGGAGTGGAGTTGACAAAGTGTTGATTGGTGTACTTAGTTGTTCTTAAGAGTTTGTGTCATATGCATTACATCTCATAATTGCGACACATAGGTTGCACTCCGTAGCTTGCAACACATATCTAGACCGAAAGATTTCACTGTTGAGGTCCACTGTAGCACACATGTTTCAATGCCTTTGGCCCTTCAGGCTGGCTCCATGGGCCTCCAAGGCGGCTCCAGGTGCCCCCATGAGGGCTCCAGGACAGCCCCAGGGAACATCTGAAGCCGTTCTGGAGGTATAGAGGCCTGTAGACAAGTCGCGTAACGCACACCTGGTGCGCTAAGACGCGCCCAGGAATTCCTGTACCGCGGGGGTCTGGGCCTTTGACGAACATTTTTCCCCAATCAGAGCTTGCCTCTGTAGGGGTCCTAGCGGAGTCATATGGTTAGGTGAGGTGTGTCACCGATTTCCGCGGCCGGCCCAGGTGCCCGGGTGCCTGGGTGCCCGGGTGCCCAGGTGTGTTATAGCCTTATAGCCCTGTAGCCCTATAGCCCTACAACCCTACAGTCCTATAGCCCTATAGCCCTATAGCCCCATGGCCCTATAGCCCTATAGCCTTATAGCCCGATAGCCCCATAGCCTAATAGTCCAATAGCCCTATAGCCCAATAACCACATAGCCCTATAGCCCTATAACCTTATGGCCCTATAGCCTAATAGCCCTAGAGCCCTATAGCTATATAGGCCTATATCCCTGTAACCCTGTAGTCCTATAACCCTATAGCCCTATAACCCTGTAGCCCTATAGCCAAATAGCCCTACAGCCTCACTACCCTATAGCCCTATAGCCCTATAGACCAACAGCCCTATAACCCTTTAGCCCTATATCCCTATAATCCGATAAACGTATAGCCTCATAGCCTTTTAGCCCTTTATGCCGTATAGCCCTGCAGCCCTATAGCCCTATAGCCCTATAGCCGTATAGCTCTATATGCCTATAGCCCTATAGCCCCATAGCCGCATAGCCCTATAGCCCTACAGCCCTATGGCCCTATAGCCCTATAGCCCTATAGCCCTACATACTCACAGCCCTATAGCCCTATGGCTCTATAGCCCCATACCTATAGCCCTACAGACCTGTAGCCCTATGGCTCTATAGCCCTATAGCCCCATAGCCCCATAGCCCCATAGCTCCATCCCCCTATAGCCCAATAGCCCCATAGCCCTATAGCCCCATAGCCCCATAGCCCTATAGCCCAATAGCCTCATAGCATCATAGCCCTAAAAGCAATTTGATTGGGCTTCTCACCAGTGTTATTTATATACAATTGCTAGGAACATGGTTTATACATACTTGCTCAATACGGACAGCTCGAAGGTTACGTGGTACGCTTCGCTCAGTGCCTCGCGACACGTTGGCGGACTTTCAGGCGGTAGCCGATTCGATACGAAAAGCTTCACGCAGCGCCAAGTTTGCAGATTGGCTTTTTGTGCCGTCCACAAAGATGACCAGCGAGGGGCTCCAGCTCGACGAGCTCCTCTGGAACAAGCTTGAGGAGAACGAGAACTTCCGCGTCTACATCTACACCTACGAGATGTCGTTGGTAAACCCTGTTACTGGGAAGTGGGGCCCGTTTTATACTGGTGTGGGCGGTGCTTTGCGTGATTTTGCGAAGCACGATAGGTCGAAAAACCGAGTCTCCGTTTTGTTTGCGTCTGGACGCGAGGGCAAATTGGAGCAATACTGGAGTTGCCACATGAAGGTTGTTTCGATCGATGACACGGAAATGTATCTTGGAGGAGTGGAGTGGCTCGACGATCGCTTGTCGTCGTTCAAAGGGTACGGCAGTTGGATGGATCTGCAAGCACACATTCCTGGCGGTGAGACCGTGGCGCACTACACTGAGGTCTTCGAGAGCATGTGGCGCACATTTTGCGACGACCCCTCAAAGCCAGCCGACTCAGGCTCTTGTGACACGGCGACCCTCGTGGGCCTGCACGTGGACAAGAACTTCCGACCAAGGGAGCCTGGACTGAAGGCCAATCGCCTTCCTGCCACCGCCAGATCGACACTCTGCTCTCTGGAGCTCTCTGGTGGGCATGCACGTTTAGGGAGTGAGATCGCCGAAGGGGGCTTGAGCAGTCACATGGGGGAGTCGCTCGAAGGGACCAGACATGAATATCAGGAAGCGATCTACCTCACGTACGTGAAAGCCCTGAGAGCAGCGGGCACGGTATTGATCGAAGACCAATACTTTTCGTCGGGATTCATCAACCCGTTCCGCGGCCAGGTGGCAACAAATGTTATCATGAGTGCGTTGGAGGAGACTAAGTCGGCAGCCATCATTCTGCCTCTATCGTCCGCCGCAGCAGTTCCAACATTTCGAGCGATGGTGCAGTGGAAGACGCGCCAGTGGAATCGCTCTCACAACGTCAGCCTGGAACCGCTCGGTTGGTTTAACACATACAAGGCTGCAGACCTTCTGAAGTTAGACACGCTGGAAGCGCCCCACGTGGACTTTTTCTTCTTGATGCACGCTGGGGCAGACAACGAAAGCGGTGACATTGTTTTAGACCAGAAGTTCGTACATTCAAAGGGACTGATTGCCCTCGGTGGGAAACTGGAGTACCCCCTTGCGGTGGTAGGGTCTGCGAACATTAATGACAGAAGCTTGCTTTCCAACCGCGACGCTGAAATTTCAGTCCGAATCGAGGGCGATGGAGTCGTGAATTTATCCAGCTGCCTGCGGCACACCTTGCCATCGTGCTGACGCAGCTTGGAACTGCATGCAGGCTGGTGCTGCCGAGTTCTTTAAACAGGCTCGGTATCGAAACATCTTGTGGCTGTTTCTGAAGCGGCTCTACGATGCTGCACTGCGGCGCAGCTGTAACATGTAGCATTGCATTGTTGTTGCTTTTCGTTTTGAGGGCTTTGGGGAGGCTTCTTGGGGGCTTCTCCTAAGCTTGTGGAAGTCGATTAATGGAGAGGAAGCGTGCTGCCAAATACTTTTCAGATGCCTAAAACATGTTTGAAACATGTTTGAAGTTTATAAAAACATGCTTGAAACATGTTTAGAACATGTTTTATACAGTTTAAACACATTCTTAATTCAATGATAGGATTGTTAGAGTGTCCATTGTCATGGCGCCCACAATCCTAAGCACTCCCCGAGGCACGTCTCCAGAAGCACCCCGAGACATGTCTCCATAAGCCCCCCCCCGGGCTCGCCGCCCCCAGACCCGGCCGCAAGCACGTCTCCGGACACGCTGTCACGTCCCTGGGACATATCCAGATCGGCCACAGGCACGGCCCCAGGAACGACCCCTGACGCGCCCTTCGGTTGCGTCCCCTATGCATGTCCCCGGGCACGGCCGCAGGACGTCCCATGGCGCGCTGTCAGACGCGCCCCCCTGGACACGGCCACGGGGACGTCCCCAGACACGTCATCGGGCACAGGCACGTCGCGTCCCCATACACGTCCTCCAGTACGTTCCCGGGCGCGCCATCTGACGCGTTTGTGGACACGGTCCCAGCAGTTCTCACATGTTTCGAATGCTCTGGCATTTTGCAATGGTAGTCGTGCATTCGTAGTACCGCAGGGCCTCGCTGATGGCTTCCTCGGGCGCCTCTTGGGGTTTGGTGGGGCCTCTTGGGGCATCTTTGGAGCATGCTGGAGCCTTTTGGCGGTCGTTGAGCCGTCTTGGGGTGTTCGTGGGGTATCTTGCAGCTGTGGTGGAGTGGTTTTGGGCCGTCTTCAACCCATCTTATCGAGACGGGTGTCAGGGAGTGAAACTGGGCGTGGAGGGCTTCGGGGGACGCGCGAGTGGGGGGGGCGCTACATGCCGATGACACGGTCGCGGATTTGCTGAGAAGATCGCTTGGTATCTCGCCGTGTCCGACGATTGGATGCGACGAATCATGCGGAAATGCATGCAGGGATCTCAGAGTGAGTGTTGCAAGAAGGTTGCCTCAGATTTCTTGAACTCCAGTCATGCCGCCAGGCCAGAGGAACCAACTTCACAATTCAATGCTGCCTACCAGGGAGGGGTCGTGCAGCTCTTGGAGAAGCGCGGTTTCCACATCCGCGACTCGCCAAATGTCGTTGGACAGCGAGTGGCGCGCTCAGCGTATGATAACATCTCTCAGATGACGAGAAAGGTGGGCGAAGTCGAAGAGCTGCCGACAAGCACAACGGAGCAGCTGACGCAACTCCTGAACCATCTGTGGCACCAGCCCGACATGCTCAGCATCATGTCGAGCCTGGCCGCGCTGAATGCGGACCTGCTGGCTGCCGTGTCCGGCGGCGAGGTCGACGTCTTGCGCAAGAGCTGGCACGAGGTCGGGGGCGGTCCCAGGTTCGAGACGCTGATGGAGAGGCTCGTCTCGGTGTTCAAGCCCTCGCAGGAGAGGCGCCTGCCCGCCAGCGGGGCGAGCGGCTGCTTCGAGCTGCCGGTCGACGCGCTGCTCCTGCCGTTCAGGCCGCCCGCTGCGCGTGAGAGTGGCCTCTCTCTGGAGTGACCTTCCGTGCGAGCCCACAGGGAGGAGGAGGAGGAGGAGGAGGAGGAGGAGGAGGAGGAGGAGGAGGAGGAGGAGGAGGAGGAGGAGGAGGAGGAGGAGGAGGAGAGGACGTCCTGCCTCTCCCCTGCCCTTCGCCTTTCCTCTCGTCTCGCGCCTTCGCCTGCGCGCTTGGACTTGGCCCCCCCCCCCGCGGCCCCCTGATGCCGCGCACCGGAGGTCGCTCTTGCCTGGATCCGGTGCCGGCCAACCATACTTCTAGACTGTGTGTGCGTCGGCCACGCGAGGGCGGCGCGCACGCTCGGAGGTCTTCCAGTACAGTCGGGGGTGGACAGACCTCCTACCCTGGCGCGTCGATTAAGGAATTAGCCGCTGTCGGTTCGCGAGAGGGCGTCGCGGCCGTCATTTTTGCGGGTCCAGGTCCGTCGGTTTCGGTCCCAAGCCGTTTTCACTAAGGGGAGGTCCACTAAAGGGAGGTTTGTCCACCGTCGATGCAAGCTTCGTGTCGGGCGCTTTCTGGCCAGACCGCTTGGGAAGCGATCTGCTACAAGACTTTGTGCTAAATCGAAGACGCCTACGGCGAATCACCGCCGCCCCCTGCCTTTTTGGAAGCGCCTATGTGGCCGAACGTTGAGGCCAGACCTGCCAAGCTATCGGACCACGTGTTCCCCGAATCGGTTTGGAAAGCCTTCGGGGAACACGTGGGCATCTTGAAGGTCATCTTGGCCGTCTTGGAGGCCTCTTGGGCAAGCTTTGGGCGATCTTTGGGGCTTTTTGGGCCGTCTCGGGCCAGCTTCGAGCCAACTTCGGCCATCTTGGTGGGTTCCTGGCACGTCTGAAGCCGTCGGAAGCCGTTTGGGGGGCCTCTATGGGCCGACTTGGGGCCCGCTTGGAATGCTCCAGGGCCGTCTTGGAGGCCATCTTGGGCGTCTGGGAGGCCATCTTGGGCGTGTTGGAGGCCTCTTGGGCCCTCTTGGGGCCCTCTAGGGGCCATCTTGGAGGCCACTTGGGCCATCATGGGGCTCTCTTGGGGGCCTCTTGGGCGATCTTGGGGGCTTCTTGGGCCGTCTCGAGCCGTCGGAGAGCCGAAAAGGCGCAAATGCCAGAATCCTTCAAAAACCAAGGAAAAATCAATGATTTTGGCCTCTTCGGACTCTCCTGGAGGACCTCTTGGAGGCCTCTTGGGCCGTCTGGGAGGCCTCTGGGGGGCCTCTTGGGCCGTCTTGGGCCGTCTTGGACTCTCTTGGGCCGTTTTGGAGGCCGTCTTGGACCATCTCGGGCGGACTTGGAGGCCATCTTGGGCCATCTTCGCGATTTTTTGAGGATGTCCCGAGCGAAACGGCAGTTTTTTGGAGGATTTTTTTCCGGATTGAGGTCCTTTCGGCTTCCTCCCGGGACCCCGGCGGGACGGGCCGAAGCCCACTGGGGAGTTCTTTTAGAAAAAGAACCAGAACCAAAACCTGAATCATCCAGCACGCCGTGCACCCCTGCAAGCAGGGGGCGGCGGATCGAAGACGCCTACGGCGAATCACCGCCGCCCCCTGCCTTTTTGGAAGCGCCTATGTGGCCGAACGTTGAGGCCAGACCTGCCAAGCTATCGGACCACGTGTTCCCCGAATCGGTTTGGAAAGCCTTCGGGGAACACGTGGGCATCTTGAAGGTCATCTTGGCCGTCTTGGAGGCCTCTTGGGCAAGCTTTGGGCGATCTTTGGGGCTTTTTGGGCCGTCTCGGGCCAGCTTCGAGCCAACTTCGGCCATCTTGGTGGGTTCCTGGCACGTCTGAAGCCGTCGGAAGCCGTTTGGGGGGCCTCTATGGGCCGACTTGGGGCCCGCTTGGAATGCTCCAGGGCCGTCTTGGAGGCCATCTTGGGCGTCTGGGAGGCCATCTTGGGCGTGTTGGAGGCCTCTTGGGCCCTCTTGGGGCCCTCTAGGGGCCATCTTGGAGGCCACTTGGGCCATCATGGGGCTCTCTTGGGGGCCTCTTGGGCGATCTTGGGGGCTTCTTGGGCCGTCTTGAGCCGTCGGAGAGCCGAAAAGGCGCAAATGCCAAAATCCTTCAAAAACCAAGGAAAATCAATGATTTTGGCCTCTTCGGACTCTCCTGGAGGACCTCTTGGAGGCCTCTTGGGCCGTCTGGGAGGCCTCTGGGGGGCCTCTTGGGCCGTCTTGGGCCGTCTTGGACTCTCTTGGGCCGTTTTGGAGGCCGTCTTGGACCATCTCGGGCGGACTTGGAGGCCATCTTGGGCCATCTTCGCGATTTTTTGAGGATGTCCCGAGCGAAACGGCCGTTTTTTGGAGGATTTTTTGCGGTCGTTGAGCACGTTTGGGGAAATTCCGGGTGGCCGGCGGGTTCTGCCGGAGCCCACTGGGGAGTTCTTTTGGAAAAAGAACCAAAACCAAAACCTGAAACATCCAGCACGCCGTGCACCCCTGCAAGCAGGGGGCGGCGGATCTGATGGCCTTCGGCCCACCCCGCCACCGTGCCTGGGTTGTGGGTCAGAGTCCTCGGAGATGCTTCCTGGGGTCTCTTCGGAACTCTCTCTCGGGGGCCTCTTGGGGCAGTTTTGGTGCCACTTGGGAGCCTTTTGGGAGCCTCCTGGGGGCCTCTTGAAAGCCTTTCAGGGGTCCTCTTGGGGCTTCCAGGGGCCTTTAGGAGCCTCCTAGGGCCTCTTGGGGGCCTCGTGGGGCCTTCTGGGGGCCTCTCGGTGTCGAGGGCTCTCTTGAAGCGTTTTGGGGTCCCCTGGGAGGCCTGTTGGGCCGTCTTGGGGCGATGTTGGGGACCTCTTGGGCCGTCTTGGAGCGTCGGGAAGCCGAAAAGGCGAGAACGCCGAAATCTTTCAAAAACATACGGAAATCAATGATTGTTGCCTCTTGGGGCCCTCTTGGAAGGCCTCTTGGGGCGTGTTGGGGACATTTTGGACCTCTTGGGGCCATCTTGGGCGGCCTGGGAGCGATCTTTCGTCGACTCGGGGCTCTCTTGGACTGTCTTGGGGTCCTCTTGAGGCCCTCTTGGCCCGCCTTAATCAGGGCTCTTCTGGGGCCGACGAAGTACCTGTGACAAGACGCGAGGAGACCCCGGAGGCACGCCGGGAACCCGGGGAAGTTGGGGTCTGGGCTCTTTCAAATCCGTAATCCTGAGGACTGAGGACCACAAGGGACTTGAGGACACGCCCAATCCGCGCAGGCGCGCGGGGGCGGATACGTTCGGGTCGGACGTGCGTCTCCATCAGGGGCACATCGCATTAGTATGTGCTAATGCGTGTCATGGGGTCACGCTTGCGCGTAGCTGTCCAGGCTAGGGCTTATGAAGGACATGCCAGAGAGCGACCTCACGGCGAAGATTGCGGACTTCTCGGTGCTGGAGAAGGGCCCTGTCAGGGGCCCTGCGCGAGGCTGAGAGCGGACGCGGCCGCGTGCGTGGATAGGGAGCGTCGCGTGGCGCAAGAAGCTCCTCCTCGTTCTCCTCCTCCCCCTCCTGCGGCTCCCCTTCCTCCTCCTCTTCCTCCTCCTCCTCCTCCTCCATTCCTTCTCCTTATGGATATCTTCTCCTTGTCGCACCCCGAAGCCAGTTTTTAGGGCGTGCCGGGCGGATCGCCTGAGACTTCCGCACCATTTATGATTCTGAAGCTTAGAAGGTGACAACCGTTTCTCGGATTGAGGGCGGGTCGTTTTCAAAATGTGGCTCTCGCCTCAGCGCCGCGCACATTCGTGTTCAAATTCGGTAAAAGTTTCACGGATTGAGGGCGGGCCGTTTTCAACATGTGGCTCTCGCATTAGCGCCGCGCATACTCGTTAGTTTGGGTTAAACATTGCAGAAGCTTCACCGATTGAGGGCGGCTGGTTTTCAAGATGTGGCTTTCGCCTCAGCGCCGCGCGCATTCGTGCTCAAATTCCGCAAGAGTTTCACGGATTGAGGGCGGGTGGTTTTCAAAGTGTGACTCTCGCCATAGCGCCGTGCACATTATGTGTAAAATGAAGGAACCATGTAATAGCTTCACGGATTGAGGGCGGTTGGTTTTCAACATGTGGCTCTCGCATTAGCGCCGCGCACACTCGTTTTACACATTTGCAATAGTTCCACGGATTGAGGGCGGTTCCTTTTCAAAATGTGGCTCTCGCTTCAGCGCCGCGGACGTTCGTTTTAAACATTGCAAGAGTTTCACGGATTTGGGGCGGTTCCGTTTCAAACTGTGGTTCTCGGTTTAACGCAGCGAACATAAACATTTGCAATAGTTTCAAGAATTACATGATCAACGCACCAGAAATGG